AAAACTTATTTATTGTATTGGTGTTCTATTGCATAAGCTGACTGAAGTTTTAAATTCCAAAATGAATGTTGCTAGAGTGTCCGATTCGGGATTTGATGATGAATTATAAGAAGCAGAAAAATTATTTTTTGCTATGTCTGATGAGTAATGAATTGTAGGCCCTAAGGCCGGAGAAATGTTGTTTCAATTTTTAGAATTTTTAAAATTTTGGTTTAATGGATTTGGATTTATGACTGATTCCTTTACGAGGGTTTTTTTCTATGTTCTTTAATTTTTTGGAAATAAGTGCAACCGCGATAGTAAGCTGGATGAGTACCGTCGCAAACATGCCGGAGCATTCGGGTCTTTGGTACAAGCTTTTGTATTATGATTATCGCCGCGTTTTAGGCAAACAAATGGTTTATTGCAGTACTTTTTGGTGTGATTAAATAGTTGACAGATAGTGCATTATATTATGTTGTTAGACTTTTTCGGTGGTTCGACGCGTATTATGTAGTTGAATAATATTTAAACATTATAAATATTTTTGTTATTTCTGTTTAGTTCCCAATCAACAAAAAAACATATTAAGAAGTTCTTTCGTTTTTCTATTTCTAATAGTTAGGATTTTACGAACGACATGTACCTGTTTTGATAGTTCTAATTTAATTGAATCTGTGCTTGTTGAGAAGTGTACATTTCTCAAAACAACCCTGTAAGCTTTCTCTTCTTTTAATTGGTATGTATGATATACGGCGTTAGTTTCTTTTAGATGTCTGGATGAAGTTCGAAAATTTTCTACAGAATGACATATAATTTTATATTTATTGTTAGCTAAACTTCTCAGGAAATATTGATCGAGCGGAATTATATTATTTAATTGATTTGACATATCATTAATATCTTCACTTTACTCCGTAAATAAATGTTGTGGGGGCTTACTAATTGAAGCCGGTTTAACTAAGTTGTCATCCTTTGCTGTGTCTATTGATGAAAGGGCCGAAAATCTGTTTTGGATTTTTCTTTATTACGAGATTTTTTGATATTAGATTGTGTTTGAGAGAGACATATAGTTGCATTATTACTAAATGTTATTATTTCCTTTATTGAGTTAGGATCTACTGTCGATAGACGCAACGAGATCTTTTCCGTTGTAAATATGTTGGTCCGACCTTCTTCGCGAGGTATTCTGCTATATTTGCTCGATCCAATGACGGTTTTTCGTAGTTTGGGTATTTCGGGTGATTTGCTGTTCGATTTCATTTAGATTATATCTTGTTGTTATATCCTGATTAAAATGTAAGACATTTTGTTAATTCTAAAAACGCAAACTAGTGTGTCGATTATGTTTCTTTTAAGTAAACAATTTCATTTTAAACAGTTTCTGTATACTTTTATAAGCTTTTTATGCAATTTCAATAAACCGTATAATTCAATCTGACATGTACTTGTTTTTTTGATTGTAGAAATGTTTTTTTTTATTTTTCAAATATTTGTTATCTATTTTTTTTACTCTATAGAAAGAGCACGGACGATGGCCGAGTCCTCATCACGTTTCATCAAATCGCTTTTAAATTTTTGGAATCGGTTGAGTCGTTTCTGAGATAACGTCGATGAAAATCAAATTTTGGCACCTTATCACAAAAGACATGCATGTTTGATGAATTTTAAAAATTAAGCTAATTATCGTAGAACTGTATTATTTCAGTATGTTTCATAATGTCATGGTAATCGTAAAAAGTTTCATCAAATTTTTATGGAAAAAATTTTCAACACTTATTACCAAAGATAGAGCCCGACTGATCTTTACTAAAAATTAATCAGAATAATTTCCAACCAGTATCCTCAGAACTGTTTTTAAATTTTTAAAACTAAATAGTGATTTTTGGCTAAAATGTGGTCAAAATAATTTGCACATTTTTTCTTATTTAAAAAAAAACGGCTTGCCCGATTGTCACGAAAAACTGTCAAAAGCGAGACTTCATGGAATGACTCGCATACACAAACAAATATTTTCTTCAAATTTGTATCAATCAATTCAGAATAACTTCAGAAACGTCGAGAAAATATACTTATTATATAAAGACTCATAATGAAACCGAGTTACATGCTCTTCTGTAACCACTGCCTCCACATCTTTTCATCTCTTCATCTTGCTTTAAAGTTCTTCCATTTAGTTGCTCCATCTTCGTTTTCGAGATAATAATGTTCACTTATAAAATGTTTGTCGTTTTTTATCAACGAATAAATAAAAAACTGCAGCAATTCATCAAAATTATATGTTTCTATTTTCGTTTTATCAGAAGAACGCACGCTGGAGGGCTTTTGGAATCGATTCCTGGCGAGATAGGCGGAGATGCGCACGATGTTCGGATTTCGCAAAGAATCGTTCCTCACCATTTTGTAATGGTGAACAAAATGTTATCGTTGATTGCCGGTAGTTCAGCGGATACGATTTCCTCTTTTTTGCAAGCCGGGCTTAATAAACGTTGGTTTTATACGGAATCACAGTAAAATAAAGGAAATATAAATCAAAATAGTCATTCATTTATTAAAAAGGCCAGTTCATACTACAAGCAATGACACAATGTGTAGGGTAAAGTAGTCCACAAAAGGTTAATTTGACTCTAAGCAATTATATTGTGAAAACCAAACTAATTATATCATAGCAAAGAACACATATTAAACGAACAACGACCTGACTAATTTTAATAAAAATCCAAGCTTATCATCATTGCAAAAATGTGTTTTTTTGCTGTTTTCCAAAAAAAATTAAACCGATTATTTTTACCCCATAATCGGGGTAGATTGGGAAATAGATTAAGGTTATTATATATACAACCAAAACAAATAACAACGAAAGAAAATACTTTTGTTATGGATTTTTCAACATTGGCGGTTACCCTTCAATAGGAACATCGTAAAAACCAAGGTGATGGTTGGTCATAACTCTTTTTTCTTCTACTGTCAAATATTGTTATAGAAAAAATCTTGTCTTTACTGGATTTTGGGATATTGGTGTTAGACAGTTTTACCCGCGAGTTTTCAGCCCCGCTCTACACTATACAAATTTGATGTACAATGATTTGTTTCAAGTTTCAAGACTACCACGTAATTTCTAATTAAGACTAGTAAATCTGTATTATAATAGTAAATCTGTTATATAATTATGTTTTCTCGTCGTTTCCAATTAATCTGAATTGATTGAAATAAAATTTAAAGAATTTGTGTGTGTATGCGAGCTATTCGATGTTGATCAGTTATTCATCATAATCGGCCAAGCCCTTTTATTAAAAGTGCAAATTATTTCGTTTCACATTTCTGCCAAAAATCATTAATTGATTTAAAAAACTCAAAAACTGTTCTAAAGATATTCGTTAGAAATCGTTCTAATTAGCTTTAATTAAAGATCAGCCGGGCTCTTTTTTTGGTAATAAATGTTGAAAAAAAAATCGAAGATTTTGATGAAACTTTTTACAGACCTTAAGAAACTAATATGGTCCTACGTAAGTAGCATAATTTTCAAAATTCTTATAAGCTATATAGTTCGATATGCCAACAACGATAAATATTATTTTCAGATGTAATTTAAAGTTAAATTATATTGAAATTTTCTGCTATAAGTGTAAATTTTCATATCCTTCAGAATAATTTCATTACACTTCAATATCTGAATACTCGCCGCGCAAAACAGCAGGTATACTTACCTTAAAAAATCTTTAATAGTTTTTCTCTGAAGTGTTTTAGCAAAAATATGGAGTGACTCAGCATATTTAAAGTATTCTCCAAGCATAAATGCTTATAGTGTTAGTCAAAGTCTAATTTTTTATTGAAGACCGCGTGAACCATGAAATTTCGAAATGATAAAAATATTTGGAAAAGTAAGTTAACGAGGCTTCTTTGACTTCATTGAAAATATTAAGAGGTAGGTGTATAAAAAGTTTCTTTTCAATATTTATTCAGTAGATTTTTTTATTTTTTTTATAATTTTGTCAATATGAAAATTGACACTTATCGATTTTCATTGCCGAAATTAAAGAATTAACTTTAAAAGTAGGATAGAGCAGGGCACAAAGGTCCAGTTTGACTTTGAGCAATTATACATATTGTGAAAACCAAAACAAATTATATAACAACTGATAACACATATCGAACAATCTATCTGATTAAGTATATATCCTTGCAAATTTATCATTATAGACATGTATTTTATGTTTGTGCTGTTTTACAATAATGTGACTCCTTGTCCATTTCACCCTATAGGCGGGTAAAATGGGACAGCCAGGGGACGACATCAGGTCCAATACTTAATTTTTAATCTTAAAGAGATTTTACGAAATTATAGCTATCTTATTAAACCAATACAAAATATAAGTTCATGGGTACATTTTTACAGAGATAACACTGTTTAAAACCTTGATCTGGTATTTCGTCAGAAACATTTACCAGCTGTTTTGGAATAACTGATTACTTCTTTTTCCTCATTGTCGGTAGTTTTTTTGGGTTTATCAAGTTTAAATAAGATAAAATAAGTAAAAAATGTTATCATAAAATTTGCATTTTACATTGGTTAAATAATGTAGCTATTAACTCGTCAAACGCCTTTTGTATTAAAAAAAAAGTAAGACATTTGTATTTCGTCCTTTGAGATGTAATGTTTAAATTTATTATTTTTCTTTTTAATTAATTTTGTAAATATAATTCATATTTATTTTTAATTATTTTTTCATTAACATGTCTTTAAGTAACCATTTTTATTTGTAACGTTTTTGTTTAGTGTTTAGTGCATATTTGCCTTTTGTTTGTTCTATTGCCACTGAAGAAGAGTCAAATTGAGACTCGAAACGCACTTTGCGCGCAATCGTAGCAAAATGACAAATGCATTTAATTAATTTCGTTTACTTTATATAATTATGGGCAAAGATTATTAACTTTTTCGTTAAATAAAATATATTATGCTTTTAAACATAATGATTGAAAATATAAATATTTTGTATTGGGCTATAAAAACAATAACCAACCTTCTATTCTGATACCACGTCTTGACTTGTGTGTCACTTAGACCTAATTTGGCAGCCAACTCCATTCTGTCTTGTACGCTCAAATATTTTTGTCGTTCGAATGATTTTTCGAGTGTCTGTAACTGATGATCTGTAAATGCTGTTCTAGCTTTTCTTTGCTTTTTGCTGAGAGACCCTCCATTACCAACTCCAGACGAAGTTCCTCCAGAGTTGTGACTGGAGTTTTGGCCTCCAGAGCTTCCTTGTCCAACAACCAAGTCTCGCGATCGATCGCCACATAGAGAGGTTAGTGATCCTTTAGGGGAATTTTCATCATCCATTTTGCCATCTAAATAAGTAAAAATATTATCCAATAAGTTTAATATCACCAAGATTGAAATTATAATAAATCAGCGTTCAAGTAAAAACAAATAATTTTGCGTTAAAATTACATATCAGGATTTTATTAACATAAGTAACAAATCCATAACAAAAACGTAAATTTAGACAGAGCGATTAAAGCTTGTATAATTCATTATCAGTTTGCATAAGCGTTCAAGATTTTGATACATCACGATTACAAAAAAAAGAGTGCGCGTAAGGTTCACACGCAATTGAAGTAAAACTTACTTGCTAGGTACTGTACAAAGTAGCAAATTTAGGTTAAGTAAAAATAAGTACATCAAATAAAAATTTTGAATAATGTTTATTAGTACTATGGTAACACTCGTGGTGCATACATTTATTAGTTTCAACCATTATACACATTTATATAATGATAAATTATAAATTAAATATTTATAATAGCATTAAAAGTATGTATAATATTTAAAAACAATAATGTGATTGAAGTCATACTTCAAATGTGACATGATCGGTTTGTCATTGTAATTAGCTTGATTAACCTTCATTAGAGAAATATTTAGAGCTGATTAATAAATTCTATAATGTTCGTTCAGACAGTGGATTATGTTAAACAACACCTAAACAAATATTGTTTTCGCAACTTCAATCATCATGTAATAATTGTGTTTAAAGAACTTCATGTAATTAAAATTCACATACATTCATTGACTGATGATATTTTTTCTACTTTTTCACTGGCAATATAATCTCAATCTTTGAACAGCTGTAATATCTGTCTTGCCTAAAAATATTTTTCATTTCAATAACTTCAAAGATTTATAGAAACTACGAATAACATAGAAATAATTTCTAATCAATAAACTTACGTTTAGTACACGGCACAAATGTTTAATATTTATTAAGAAACAGTATAAAATATTCTTCTGATTCAGACATTTTTTATTAAATCAAGATTTGTAGTACGATGTAACTTCAAAATGTTCATTTATCTATACCGATTTGCTTGTTGATATCGGTATGCATACAACGTTGATGCCGGTACGCATACAACGACAGATCTCTATTCACATACACGACGACTGATCACAATCGACCCGTATTGAAATGATTTTATCGAGACCGAATGACTTACAGTTCTGGCGAAACGCATTTCCGTTGCATTTGTACAGATTTACACTCTAGTCGCGCCTAAAGAAGTTTTACTTCAAAAAATCAGTAAGTTTTAATATATTTTTATTCGTGTAGACAATCATGCAAAATGTATATCGTGTGCATTTGGTGTTTTAATATTTCATAAGTGCGTTTCATATGGGGTTCCCCTGTCGCTACGAGTGTATAGATATTCAGCGAATTTGAAATTTATGAGAGTATGACGCTTTAGCTTTAGCTTTACTTTATTCATTTCGGTTATTCGCGTATACGTTAGTTAGTCACTCGACCTGAGTGAGCCCAATTTACATAATGGGCATAAAGGTGTCTTTTAAAACAGAGAATTACGATCTGTTAGCGCCCGTAAAGCGCGCACCGTGTCGGGTTGCTTCGTTAACGAATTATTCGCATTCGAGGCCGACGCCCGACGCCCGACGACCGTCAGCACCGAACGGCGAAAGAACATGATTTGCATACAATTATTTGATTTAAAATCTTTCGCAACTAGCGCAAACAAATTGCTGGTACTTCCCGTACCAAAAAATAAATGTTTTAAAAAAACTTTAAAATGTTTTTTTTTAAAAAAAACATTGAAGAAGTTAGATTTTTGGGAATATTTGAAAAAACTTTTTTTTATATTTTGAATTGTTTATATTCTGACAATATAGCGAAAGGCGCAAGCGCGGCCTCGCGGTCGAACAAAATTTGTACTTACTAAATTTTTTGTAAAGTATGATAATTTCATGTGCATATGTCTAATGACCGCCAAATGGCGTCATTTCTTATTCTTTTTAGTTCTGCGAAACAGCTAGACCTGCCTTCCTAAAAAGTGTATCAGTTCTTCATTTTGTCAGTACAAATAAAACTTTCGTTCTCTCAAAAACTTCAAATTGCCATTTGTACGTTTTGCCCCGTATCTCTGAAACGACTTGATCTGCCTTTGCTACAATCTAATCAGCACGTCTCCCCACCAAGACGAATCGAATTATTTTAAATTGTTCCCAAAATCTCCGACGCTAATTTGTATCCTGGCGTACATACGCACAATCACACATACGCACACTTATACATTTATTTTTTCTAAGGTATGCCAAAATGTTCAGAAACTTTTGAAACGTAAATATATATAAATATTATCATATTGACTTTCTATGGGAAGTTAATTGTGTAAAAAAGTGAAAATTGATTAGCTTAAAAACCAATTTGGAAAATGTCAAAAATAATTCGACAATTCGTTACTATCATTCTATTAACAAGTTAAACATTTTATTTCATCTCATACATTATTTATCACAGTAAAAATTTTTGAGCATAACTTTAATTTTGTATGTCTCTAATAATTGCCAAAAATTGTATATTATTTGTCAATTTTTCAATAGTTACATGTTAAAATATACATTACTGAATGATATTGACAATGAAGACTTTTTTAAAGAATTAGTTTTTTATGACATTACTGAATATTCTCAATAACAATTTTCTTGCATAATCCTTATTCTTTATCTATGTAGTCAGACCATTTGATCGCTTGTACAACCATATTTTTTGTTATTTTTTTTATTGCTATTTTACTAATTTAAAATTTTTACGGTTTTAAATGAGTATAACTTTCAACCTTGTGCAATAATTTTGAGCTTGACTGGTGGTCAAATAGACTTTAATATGATGAACTTGATGATGAACATTTTATTTAATGTTCGAATGATTTTTTCAGCTCTTTTTTTCAGAAGCGAAATTCGTGCAGCTACTATGATTATTATAAAATTACTATCCTTTTAATATTAACTATGAATAAGCTTGACAGGAGCCTGAAATAATATCTATTATTATTGATTACGGCTTGCTTATGAATATAAATAAATGCATTATTATACATAATTTCTACGGACAAATGATTAAAAAATAGAAATAATATAAAGCTTATGAGTAAACTGTATCAACGTCAATTTCACAACAAATTTTTTGTTACATAAAAATTTAGTTTTCAACGTCGCCAGCAAATGCATTATTCGAGCTACTTCTATTTTCATCGCCATACAGATAAAACCCATTTCCTCTATTTCTGGCGAGATTAACTCATAAAACATCCACTAAATCGTTTCTATTCGCCGCGCTCAAGGAGCCTATTCTCTCAATACTTGTGGCACTTGAATCTCCTATCTACATCTCTGTCACCCTACTGAAAATTGTTCGGGAAACGTTCCTAAAAAGGTTTTCGTGCAGTGCTTATATCCTATAGTCGTCTTTTGTCCTCTCTCTAATTCACATGTCCCGGCGCTTTGCGCAATCGAAGACCGATCATGCGCAACCGGCGCAATGTCTGTCTCTTTCATTCTCAAGGTCTGCTTAATATCCTTTCTCGCTTCAATACCATAGGCGTGGCGTGACAGAAATAAGCGCATTGAATTCGATTGGGCGACCGAAGGAGAGAGCATTTTCTGATAAGACACTGCATTTATTTTTTCATTTGTTTGTTTTTCCTGCTCACTTATAGGCGTCATGTTTGTCGAGATTCTGGGCTCAAATGGGATGCGAAAGAACGACTAATTGAGGTTTTGCAAGTATATACAAGTATTAAATCTCTCGGCGATGTTGTAGTAAATAATCGCATCGTTATTTCAGGAAAAGTTACAAAATTCATTTCATTCGATAGTCGGGTTATATTATACAAAAGTCAAATTTGATTTTGTCATTTATATTATGAAGAGCAAACCGTTATATCACGATAAATGACTTATATCAAACAAATAACTATATCCGACTATGCTCAGTAAAACGTCCAAATAATTCATTCTCCAATTCATCTAAACGTGTTTTTTATGATTTTTTTTTTAATTTGGTCCTCTTTACCCTATAGTCGAGGTCCAATTTCCAATTAATTGTTTTATTAATTTTAAAGGGACTTAACCAAACAATAGCTACATTTATCAACGAATGCAAATTATTAATATCATGGATACAATTTCTACAGAGATAACATTGTAATAAACTTGATTTAGTATTTTGTCAGAAATATTTATTGCATAGTTGGAATAAATATTTATTTAATTTATCTCTTGTAGAATAGCTTGTTTTATTTTAATTTACTTTTTTATTTGCTATTTTTTATTTTTTACAAAATTGCCAGGATAAAGGTTCAGTTGGTCCTATCTCTGCCACCCAGGTGTAAGCTTATATAGAGGTTATATAAAAAACTGTTGAATGTAACTAAAAATTAAAAATATATCTTATAAAACACAATTAAATAACGTATACGTTAAATTAAAATTATATTAAGGTTCGTAAACTAAGCAGCAATGCTCACAACCAAAACAAATAACAGAGAAATAGAATTTATTTGTTACAGATGTTCAGTAATTGCCATTTATCTGCCGATAGCAACGTGGTATGTATCAAACAAATGACTGCATATACATCTTTTTCCCTCTACTTGCAAATATTGTTGTTCAAAAATTCTCAACTTTAGGTACTGGTTGTTGCGATATGGGTAATGGACCTTTCTACCACCATTAATATGAATATTTTCAAATTTCTTTGCTCCCAGTCCCAGGAGCTCAAATACTTCCAAATTAATTAAAAAATTATCTGAAAGTTTTATCTCTTAATATTAACTTTAAGGTGTATATTGATGTAATGTATCAGCCCCTATTATAAAAATGTTTAACATAATGTACACGATCTAAACATATTAATTTATATTCTTATTTGATTCAAATCAATAAGTTGAAAATTTAATGCAACTCTAAACGAGTACATTCAATTAAATATGACAGGCTGATAAAATCATTTTCTGTTAACAACCGAGAGATCATTTAGGATCTCGTGGAATGTGCA